CCCCCCCCCCCCCCCCCCCCCCCCCACAAATGAATTTCAAAAGAACGGCAGTGGTTTCAAACGTCGAATTTAATTCAGTCGCGCCGAGGATCGGAAGAAATTTGCTTTGCTGAAGACTATTTTAAATACTAGAAAGCAACGGAGGCTGATGCAGAAGGCTATGAATTCAGTTCCGCACGGCAAGAGCACGCCGTTTGAAGCCACGTCGCTCTACCTTTCTTAATTCTGAACCCCCTTACATCATTAACTGTACGTGCTCTTGAGTTCGTTCATGGAGACACAATTGTGTTACATGGTCTGCGCCATGGACACGTTTCTTTTGATCTTGCGCGAAGTGTGAACCAAATATAAATTTTAATTAAAAAACCGTATTTCAATGCCCTAAAAGGCCCACAAAACGAATAAGATTTAGCTAGAAAATTAGATAACAAAATCCTGATAAGTTATGAAATCTAGAATCACTATTTCCAGGAAGGGCGACTTCAAAAGGTAGACCTCGGTTTTATTTCATTTTCTCGACTGACACCCATAAGAACATTTAATAATGGTGGTTAAGTACGAGATGCATAAGATCATAATATAACGAGAAGGTATAATTTGATCATTACCGAAATAGAACTGAAGTAAGCTTTTTTAATACCCTGCATGAAATATCCACGATTGTACTATCCTGCAACAAAAACAAGTTTTCCCTTAATAATTTAATAACGAATAGATAAATAAATAGAATACATCCTGGCTTGCATTTTTATTGTTTGATATTTTAGACTTTGGAAGTACCTTTGCTAAGTCTATATGAATCAGCACAGTAACCATACTCCATATTCAAAACATTATATTGAGGAAGAGAAAGCGTATATATAGCACCTCCGTAATAAAACAACGAAAAAGCTGTGTTTTATATTTCTTCCGATATCAGTTTCGCTCACTGCGTAATTATATATAACTGCGTAAGAGGAACTACACTCTTCTTTTAAGAAGTTTTTTTATAAGAACGTCGAGACCGAGATTAACCAAAAATTAAGAACGTTTTAAAAACATTCCTCAGGCTGAGAGTCGATTAAGAACGTTTTTATTTTGCTAATCTGTATATTAAATGCCAAGCATAAAATAAAGGTAACAAAAAATGTAAATTAACCCAAATACTTAAGGGCATGTTTTGTATAATATTAACAATGGTTTCCTTATTACATGACACGCATCTCGGTTTGTAATAATCATCAGTTCTTATTTATAGCTGGTCCAAAATAACTTCCACACCATCAAAGTCATCAGGAGATACAAAGTATACCATGTAAGTTAAAAACATCTTAAGAAAGTTTTCAGCTTCAGATCGCAAAAAAATGTAAGAACGTTCAGTCGCAGCTCTAAAATTAGACATTCTTATGAAAAAAAAAAGAAGAAAAGAAAACAGAGAGAGAGTGTATGTACGTAAGCGGAACTGCGTAAGCATAAGTGTAAGAGTAATTGAACCAGAAATGGCGCAAGAAAATATCATTTTTACATGCTCGGATATTTGTCCTTGGACATTATCTGTTCCTCGAAGCTCACAGTTTTCCTCGAGCTATGCTTTTGGAAAACTGTTCGCTTCCGGGAATAGAACAGATAATTAATATCCAAGCATATTTCCGCGCCAAATGAGGCTATTGTCTTTATTCAATGTCTAGATATATTTTTACAATAACTATCTAATTTCCCGCGCGCTGATTGGTTCATTTTTATCATCAATCAGAGTACAGAGGGATAAAATTTTAATTTATGCAAGATTTCAAGTTCAATTTTCAGTTGTCAAACTGTCAACTTTTTAACCAATGAGATTTTATAGACTTTTTCAAGTAGCCAATCAAAAAGCGAGAAAAGCTATTGACAATGTTCGCGTCATTTTGAATAAAATTCACTTATCTTTGTTTACGGCAAGTTTACGGCGTCTTTTCCCCTCATTTATTCCCGGTATTTGACCATTTTGGGGTCTTGTTATTTTAAAAAACAAATTGACGTCAGTTTTTTATCCGTCTGTCCTCTTATTGATGATAAATTGCGTCTTAACATTGTCAAAGTGGCTGTGGGACCACGAGCCGCAGTTGGAGGAGTTCCGCAGTAAACTGACGTCAATTTGATTTGCAGGCCAATACAGCTGACAGTTCCCGTCGACCTTTGCAGGTCGCGCAAATTTTTTTTTTTGCGGTGTTGATCTTATCATATTTATGTTCTCATATGACTTGAAACTTATTCTTTCGTTCTGATAGCGTAAGTTAGAGGAAAATGGGTAAAAAAGTAATGTGTGGTTGTTGGCCAAACTTGAGGTAAGGAAGTTTAGTTTTCTGATATTTTGTGACACAAAACCTTGTGTACACAGCTTGCTCGGTCTCCATGGCATAAGCTTAAGCTCAAGTCTTATTGATGATTGGAAGAAATTTGATTGTCGCTCGAAAATATCTCATTGTTCGGTTTCATCTTTAAGCTTAATATGAATTTTGTACTAAAATTGTACTGTGCAATTAATGACATATTTTGAAAACTTTCAAAATGTGAGCTAAAGATCGATCTGCTGTACGTTGTTGTTGTTTATTAATGGCGTTCACTTCGGTCGCGATATCCCTTCGTAAGCCCTCAAGCCGATTAGTCGTTAGCCGGTTAGAGTCGTAAACACTGGCTACTTCTCTTAGGGGTAAATACTAGATTGAATGGTGGGGGTGAACTTCATTGCGTTGCTGTGTCACTATGTAAGCGGTAAAGCATAAAGTTTTTTGGGAGGGTAATCCACTTAATTACGGGCGAAACGACTTATGCTTCTGATGTAAGCTTATGTATGTATGTATGTATGTCGTTCTTTTGCTCGAAAGCCGCGAGTAGTGCGAAAATGATGTACGTGTCGTACAGCAAGTCTTGTGTGTTCTGATAGGTCGATGAAAAACGCATTAAATGTCTACTTACTACGCTAGTATGAACCCACCTATTATTTGAAATATTTGAACCCTCTGCCTGAAAACTGATTGTTGTTGTTATTGTTCATACAATAAATATCATGCTCTTTTCATAATTATCTGAGTAATACTTCCAGGCCTCTCCTAATTGATTGTAAGTTTGCTGGATAACATTTTCCATGTTTCTTGATAGAAACAGGAGTAGAAGTTTGTGTTAGGGTTAGGAATAATGTAGGGTCTCTCAAACTTCCTGTCATGTGCTTCTTGAACTATCAGTAGAAAAACAGGCAAATATGTTTATGATAAATATTTATCAAAATAAGTTGCGGATATAAACAGTAATTTTAAATTTACAGGCATGTTTCAGCAGAGACTTCTGCCTTCTCCAGTGCAAATATTGATGGAAGATGCAAATTGAAGATAAGACTAGTATGTGCTAATGAGAACAAATAGAAAATAAAACAGATGGAGCGATGACGTGTTGATAAATCCCATTGGGAATAGAATAGTTGAAACTACCTGACACTTAACCACACGTCTTTAACTATGGATAAGAACTCACAATCTGTAACCATCTGCATAATTCTGAGCATTACGTATGACTTAAGTTCCAGCAATTACTTTCATGTAAGTGATCAAGCTTTTTATTTTATTCCAGCTTAAGATAAATTAAGCCTGCCCATTCCGTGGGAAAGCCCTTTCCTGAATTAGCAACGTCAACATGTTAATTTAAGCCAATCTTTGTTAGCTGCATGCTTTTGCTAGTGTATGTGCTCATTAGCATGCACTATTGCAGTTATTTATGTTCAATTTGCATCTTCTGCAACATGGTTGTAAAATTTAAAACATCTGAAAGTTGTTGCGACTTTCCAGCTGTCCAGTTGTTTTATTATTGAGTCATAGAACTACGACTTTAAGTATGTGCTTACTAATGGGCAAGCAATCAAATATGACAACTTAACTAGTGGATAAACACAGTTTCTGCTAAGCATTTGAGCAATAAAGGCAAATAAAATTAAGGTACCAAAAGAATGTCATAGTATGGTAACATTTTGAATACAGTTAAGAAGAACTCATCAAGACTTCAGCTCCCAAGCTGACCCCACGGGATAGAGATGAATTTGAAATTACCCATATTTTTAACTAAAATGGATGTTTTTATGTCTATTCAAAACAAAATAACACACACTTTAATAAGCATTTTTAGGAGGTGTAACATTGACCTTCTTGAGAATGAGTGTAAGCATGCGGTTCAAGAACTTGTCTGTGTGAAGGTGACGTGCCCTTTTCTTGTAAGCGCTTACTGTAGCCAACCAGTCTCTCCTATTCAACCTATTGTCAGTTTTCCTAAAAGTTGATGTATAAACAGCATACAATCTTCTTCCATCTTGTGATTTATGAAACTGTCCCATGGAAAATGAGAGAAATGACATTTCTGAGACCCTAAATAAAAATTTCCTTTAGAAGCTTGCAACCTCTGCACTCAATAAAATGTTCTTTATGGTGGCTAGTCCAAGAGAAATGCACACCCCTCAATTTCTCTGACAAATTGAACCAATAAATTATTGATGCACTTTTAGCCATAACTCCCTGGGGGTATTGGACTGGTATTGACTACAGTATTGATTACAGTATTGATTACAGAAACTGAACCAATCAAGAATAATAGATTTTTTAGTTATATTATTGATTGTACTGATTACCTCAACAACTTTCTAGTGATTGATTTTCATCAGTTGAACATGTTCGGACTACTTTGACATGTTTTGCAAATGGGGCTTGTGAAGTGTGGCAACTTCTCTCCAACTAAAAAGCAGAAAAAAGTAGTGTTTCTGCCTTTGAACAGGTATAGTTGGGCCAGATAAAGAAGGGGTTCAAAGGCCAAGTTCTCATCAGTAGTTTCTCAGCAGGGTACTAACTTTAACAAGTTCTAATATACTGTAAACTTCAGAAAGTAACTACCCTTGTTACTTTCAGAATTAGCAACCTTGGGGCTTGTTATTTTCCAGGGGTTATTACTTTGGAAGGTTCATGACTTTCGCAGAGCAAAAAACATTATATGAAGTTGGTATGACTGGGCTGTTCTGCCACATGGATGTCAGAGCTCTTCATGTCTAGACTGTGTTGTCAGTGGTTGACAGGAAAGATAGTTGGATATGATAAACTATTTGTACTCACGATGCACTGCTACATAAAGTTAGTGTGCTGTAACTATATATCAGTGTGCTGGCTGAGTTTTTAATTTAAATTTGAAGAAATGTTCCTTTTAATAAGCTACTGTTGAAAAAAATTTTAACGTGGATCAAAGTGTCCTATATTACGTTCCAGTTATTTGATGAAAATTCTACAGGTTTTGTTTTAACACGGTGCAACATTAACTGATGGGGCAAGAATTGATATTTCACAACGCCTTGTGGCGTAAGCAATACCTTCCCTTGTTGTTAATGTATACAAATGTAGTGCCTTAAATCAAGTTACCTGATGGGGCAAGAATTGATATTTCACAACGCCTTGTGGCGTAAGCAATACCTTCCCTTGTTGTTAATGTATACAAATGTAGTGCCTTAAATCAAGTTACCACACGTAACTTTCAACTACTATTGATTGGGAAAATAAATTTACTATTGAACCTGGGTCTCACTATTTGCGGGGGGGGTGAGAGGATTAGGGAGGGCTCGCTACTCTTGGAGGGCTCACTAATTTCAGGGGGCTACTATTTCCAGGATTTATTAGCGGCCACAAGTTTTTGATGTTACTTTTTGGGGGGTCGTTACTTTTGGAAGTTTAAAGTATGATGTTGTTTTGTTTGCAGGTTCACATGGCATGACCTGATAGCACTATGTCTGGCCATTCTTATTCCAGTGCTTGTTATTATCCTCACAATGGTCGCAATCTTGCCATCACTAGGAGCTCCCCCATTACCTGACTTTTCAGACCCAGTTAAGGTATTACATTAGGCATAATAAGTTGTTTGTTAGTTTACTGGAGCTGCTGTTATGTAGTGTAATTTTGACTGTGTTAAAATATGAAACTATCCCATCTGTGTTGTCATCTTTGGGTATAAGATGTCCAAATTTCGGTGCTAGTGGGCAGTAACAAAGAGTGACTGATCATGCAATACAGGAGTGGAACGCTCTCCCAGAGTCTACAAGAGATGCAAATAGCCTAGATTTATTTCAGAAACTTGCTTAAAACTATTTTAACAAATTTTATTATTTAATAACTAGATCTTAGGATCCATTATATTTGTAGACTTTTCAAACATTTTTTAGGACCAGCCTGAAAACCACCTGAGGGTGAGGTTGCCTCCTCATTAAAGATATACTTTTTATTATTATTATTGTTATTATTATTATTATTATTACTATTATTATTGTTATATTATGTTATTAATACAAATGTTATTGTAGATAGTTTTGTGCTGTAAATAATTATCATGTAAAGTTTTAGTGAAGAATTTTTATGAGCCCAATAAAATTATTACTTAAAAAAAGGTTTTTTATTATTATTATTATTATTATTATTATTATTATTATTATTATCATCTTCTTTGTGTTTTAGCGATGCAGTTGTTAATGACAGTATCATCTTGATTAACACTTACAATAGTTGATCATCTGGAAGTTCTTTTATTTGAAATTCTCTGCTAAACTTGAAATTTCAGAGGTATCTAATCTATACTCCTCTGTGGTCATCACATTGAATTATTTGTCATGTCTATTCCTTGAAAACAAAATGGAAAGTGGAAATAAGAATTTAACAGCAGGTATCTTCATATCACAGCTTACTCCACTCTGTCTCTTAAGACATTGTAGCTCATTTTTGCTTGTCATTCCTGGGATGGAGATTGCCATTCTATTTCTTTTAAATGGCAAATGTTTTCGTTTAAAAAAAAAACGTATTTTATTTTTTGGCATGTTACAATTTGAGAGCTCCCCCCACCAAACAAGAAGAAATTACTAACATGAGTTTGTAACAAGACCTAGCTAGGCCATTCAGCTTTTAAATTTGTGTTAACTTTTCATCTTCAGTTGGTAATCATGGAAGGATTTCATAAAATTTTAATTATTACCAATGAATCAAAGCAAGCTGAAATTGAAGTTGTTTTACAGTGGGTGATATATTTGATTGAAATTTGAGGGTTGTAAGGAGAGAAACCATTTACAGTAATCAGTAGCCAGGGCAATGGAGCTCAATCACTGAAATGTAGTGATCTCTCTGTTCCTCCTTACCTGTACTGGAGTTCACAAAATAAGATAGATAATTAATTTTTATTAACAAATAGATTCCTTGTTGCCATGTATCTGTTCAGTAACAGATCACAGGTGACACAAAAATGTGTTAAGAATGAAAAAGTGGCACACAAGGTGTTAGGTGAGTGTGTCACTAACGTTCTAATACCACATTTTGACATCTGCTATGATTTATCACTGAACAGATGCACTGCAGCATGAAATCTGGGTCATAAGTAAGACCCATTCAAAGAATGCAAATAATTCAACTTATCATAGAAAACCATGTAGCTCTTCAATAACCTTAGCCTTTTCACCATCTTGCTAGGGCTTTGAACCGAGAGGGACAAAACTGAGTGATCAAATAGTGACCTTGCAAAACTTTTATTGGAATGCACGGGGTCATACTCTTTTTGAGCAGCCACCTCAAGGTCCACAACAGGAACAAGGAAATGTCAAGCGGAAACGTCGATCAGTTCAAGGTTCTCTTGAACCTCCACTTCCTCCTGATCCAGTCTACAGGCGCATGATATTTGTTTTTGAGTCTTCTAATACCAAGGAAACCATGTTTGATGCAAAAAAACTTAAAACTGCTTGTTCCATGGAGACTGACATTCTGAAAAACTCATATTTTTCTGAATACTGCAGTGGAATTTCAGATGGAACTGGTAAACTACAGTGTTACTCGAGCTCCTCTCTTGGAAACTATGTTGCACTGCTCAACAACCGTAAATCATGTCTACATATAACAGATGATGATGTGTTATCAGTGAAGAATTTGTTGGGCAACTGTTCATCTTACTTTTCGAAGCAAACTTTGAAAGAGGACTGTGATCCCTCAACCTCATCAGGTAACCAGAATGTTAATGCTTCAGCCAGCTTCAATAACTGTCCAAGTGTACCAACAAAGTGCACCAAACACAACGCTGTGTATAACATTTTACAGTATCTTACAGACAATGAGATGAGCCCATCCAATGGTATGTTTTTAAAATATGCAGTATCCCTTCCATCAGGTACTTTTAGTGAAGACTTTGTTTTTGATGATTTATATTCAAACTTAAAAGACGGTATTCCTGGAAGAGAAGGGGTAGAATTTGCATCCTTCAAGTTTTCTGGCTACAAGTTTGACCTATTCAACAAAAAGCTTCTTTCTGAAGTTATCTTTCCTGCTCTGGCTATGATTATTGTTTTCTTAATCATGTGGTTTTTCATGGGTTCATTCATTCTTACACTCTGTGGTCTAATGTGTGTTATCTATGCCACTGCTCTTTCATACTTTCTCTACACCAGAGTTTTTAGACTTGACTTTTTTCCTTTTCTGAATATTACCACATTGGTGTTTTTGGTGGGTATAGGGGCAGATGATGCCTTTGTATATTATGACATATGGAGACAGACAAGGACTGCTAATCCAAATGCAAACATCATGCAGTTAACATTGAAGACCTTACGTTATGCTGCAGTCTCCATGTTTGTGACAAGTTTGACGACAGCATCAGCATTCTATGCAGGAGTTTCTTCTACTATAACTCCCATCAAGCTGTTTGGAATATTTGCTGGCACATCCATCTTAACTAATTACCTGCTGATGATAACGTATTTCCCAGCTGTTGTAGCTTTGCATGAGAAATGGGTCTTGAAGTACACAGGCGGCCAAAGTGTAGATGCTATGGCATTAACAGAGTTGAAAACTGATTATGAAGTGATCCAACCTGCACAAGACGTTGCTGGTTGTGAAAGCATGGATGCTGTGCCAACAACAGAATTGAGAGCTAATCATGACAAGATCCAACCTGTGCAGGCAGCACCAACAGTGCAAGACATGTCAGAAAGTAGGAAAGCAGATTTACCAGTAAACAGCTGCACAAATCAAAAGGAAACACACCTTTGTATTCTCCAGGTTATTGACTTTCCTTGCTCTCTTTTAGAATCAGCAACAAATCTTACCAGCAGAGTTGGCACAAAATTGTTTCAGGATTGGATACCAAAGGCAGTCATCAAGTTACACTGGTTGTGGATAGCATTGTTAGTCTGTCTTACTGCTGGATTTTTATGTGTCAATTTTGTAAAACCAGGTCTGCAGTTACCAAGCAGCAAAGATTTTCAAGTATTTGGTTCATCTCATCCACTGGAAAACTACTACTTAAACTACAAGAGCTATTTTAGATTTGAACAGCAAGTTAGTGGCTTATGGGTGGAGCTGTTTTGGGGAATCAAACCTGCAGATAATGGCAATCATCTTAATCCAGATGACAAAGGAACTCTTGAATTTGATGATAACTTTGGTGATCTCTTTACTCCTGCTGGCCAAAAGTTTCTTCGTTCTTTGTGTCAATCTGTTGAAAAGGAATCATTTTTTGAAACATTCAGTGGTGGTCAGTGTCCCATCGAAACATTCATTGATGAGTGTACCTCAGGACAGACCCCTTGTTGTGGAATCAATGCTTCCTTTCCTTTTCCAGCTGATGTCACTGAAAAGTGTGCTAAACTCGCCTCAAGTTTATTGGGAAGAACAGGTCTTTTGTTTGATGCTATGGGGAATGTGAAAGGTTATCATTTGCTAATAAACACCAACCAAGCATTCTCAACTAACTTTACCTCCATGGATGGTTTCTGGAAGAAAGTGACTTCTTGGGTTGATAGTAAAATGCCTGAAGCTCCACTGGGACTGCAAAATGGCTGGGCAGGATGCTGGGGACTGGACTTCTATGCCCTTCAAATTGGCCTGTCTGATGGAACATACTCGTCCCTAGGAATATCTGTTGCTGTGTCATTTACAGTTATGTTACTAACAACTCTCAACATCTTCATAAGTATCTATGCCATTGTCACCATCATTGGAATTATTGCAATAACCATTGGATCTCTGGTGCTAGCTGGCTGGCAGTTGAATATTTTAGAGTCCATTGTGATGTCAGTTGCTGTAGGATTGTCTATTGACTTCACCATGCATTATGGTGTGGCTTACAGACTGGCTCCAAACAAAAGCCAGAGAGACGGCAGAGTGCGTTACTCGCTGGTGCACATTGGATCTGCTATCACTATGGCAGCTCTGACCACATTTCTTACAGGTGAGGGACATATTAAATGTTTGTTCCTTCCATTAAATAGTAAAAAATCTTTTATTATAGACATGTTGAGTGTATTTAGCACTGTAGTGCTAACTGGGGACACAATAAATAAATAAATAAATAAATAAATAACCAAATATTACAAAATGTAGACTAATAGTAATAAAAGATTAGAGCAGTGTGTTCACGTGCGTACTTTGGATGTTTGGTCTACTTTGGTGGCATTCGAATGGCTCGATAGAAAACTTTAAGTTTGATCGAATGACAGATAACGATCTGCACATGAATTTGAAGCCTGGAGATAAAGTGTTTTCAATTAATTAAGTATTCACTTGTATTAGATAAAAATATTTTCCAGGAAAGGCATTTGAACAATTGGGGACTCTTAGAATTCAATTTCAGATCCCAACACTTGTAACAAATAAGCTTGTTTCTTGAGAAAATAAAGTTTTGACCTGCGATCCTGCAAGACAGCACGTCACCAAATGTTTTTAAATTTTGTGTTTGTATTTGGTTACATTGCTGGAATTTACATCTTGTTTTCACAAATGAAAAAGGTGAATTATATTAACCATTCTGATCACAAAGCAAGGTCTTTTGGTGAGATACACAACACGGAAACTTTGTTTTCTGACAACCAATTATGGCCACAACGAATTTGCTGAGCTACAAATCAGAGAATTTATTTTCTGACCACGTAAATTTATTTTCTGAGGGTCATCACGGCCATTATTTTGCTGAGCTACATGGAAGATTTGTTTTCTAACCACAACTCATGGACATTTGCCGTCGCCCAGCTACAAAGCATTCTTTCCTGGTAACGCAGGCTTTAGTTACTCTTTGTCAAAGGCTAGCAGGTCAAAATACATGCAGCTTTGCAGAAATCATACACACTTTGAATCTATACGTGAATGCGTGCATGCGCTCGTGATGTAATTTGCCCCTTCTGTGGGGGACCAAATCGGCGATCAAATCCGTCCAAAAAATTCTCGATACAAACTGGATAAGGATTGCAGTACACTATGTGGATGCAAACATGGGAGGTTGACCAGTTGGCTATTTACTGTACACAATGTGGTCGAGGAGTTGAACTCAGGACTACCGAGAACAAATTCAGATATTGGTACGGTGGAGGATTTGAACCAGGGACCTCCAGATTTCAAATCCAAAAGCCTCAGCCACTCGGCCATGCCATCTCTCTTACTTTCCATTGCTTTCCTCTAAATGGCACTTCTCCCTGTTTACAAATTAAGAAATGAATTGTGTTAGAAAATAAGTTAATGTAAGGGTAGGTTGGCAGTGGCTACTTGTGTGGGCTTTCATACATGATACTTTTCTTAGTTTTTGTACAGTACAGCAAGAGGGGTACAATTAGCCCTGGAATCAGTCATTCTGGGTAGTTTTTTGCTAGGGGGTGGGGGTAGGGTGAAGTGGTTGGTAGGAGGGAACAGGGATTAACCCTTACTGGTGCTAGTTACTACCCTGGGATCATGTAATCAAGGGCTCAGTTAGTCCAGTTTGGCATTGCAATACATAACACTTACATATTTTCTATGGTAGTGGCATACCAGGTAAACCTCAATTTTTAGTGGCCCTGGTAGTTTTCCTGATGACTGCCAAGTTTTAGCCCTGGTTTATTTCTCATGCTACATACCTTGAGTGCTTGAACATTTTTAGAGTACAATTTCAAGACAAAATCAATATGTTAACCAGAAAAATCCCAGTCAGATATGAAAAACCACCCCTCCTTACCTAGGAAACTGAACTCACTAGGAAACAAAAAAAAAAGTATTAAAAACCAACAGCCAGGGAAAGAAATTGATGCCATGTCTAGTTGGAACCCAAGCAGTCTTCAGAAACTAGAGACCATGTGATAAGTACTTAGGCAAAGAAATGAATGAATAAAGAACAAAATTTTGTCAGCCCTGATGAAGTGTGGAAAATACCAAACAATATAGATGTGTAAAAACTTTCACTGGCCCTGACAAAGTGTAGGAAAGTTCACACAGAATTAGCTACCCATTCGTGCAAAGGAAATTTACTATCAATGTGCACACAAAGTATAAATAATGATCTGAAGAATATCACTATGGTTCAATACAGGTTTAATGATGATGCCAGCCACAGTATTGGCGTACTTTCAGCTTGGTCAGTTCCTTATGTTGGTCATGTTCTTTAGCTGGCTGTATTCCACCTTTGGATTCTTGTCAATCTGCACTGTGATTGGTCCAAAAGATAATTTTGGACAGCTAAGTATCACTCATCTGTTCCAGAGGTGTGGTCTGTGTAAAGTGAGTCCAGAGAACTCCAAGAAACCAGCACTGAACAATGAGAATGTCAACTTGGCAACGGAAGAAAATGCTGTCAATAATTTGCCTCCAGGACAAAAACCTGACATTACTACCCACTTCTGAAGATCATAAGTATATTAAATCTGGTATGTTTTTATAGGTGATTTGAGCTGTCTCTGAGAAGTTTGGGACACCATACAAGTAGGAAGAAACGTTTTTAAACCTTGTTTACACATGAGTTGTGGACTAACAATGACAAATACAAACAACTTGCAAGAATACATATCAGTTCATTGTTATAAGATGTGTGTAGTATTGAGGCTTATTATATCTAGGAAATGTCTGTGAGCAGAACTGTGGATGGGATAGGACATTTCTGTAGTAATCAAAATGTTGGCAGCATTTGGAATATTTAGGGATAATTAACTATATTTTTCTTTGAAATCAAGGTGAATAGTGCATAATATTTGCTGAGCTGCAAAGTGGCTCAGTAAATATTCTGCTGCTATTCAATGAGATTGAAAAGAATAATTGTTTTAGTACATACACACGAGGTGATCTCAGAAACAAACGAAAATGAAACCATTAAAAGTTGATTTAATTGACCTCTCAATTCATGCATGGAAAACATGCAAGTGGCATGAAGCATGCGCATATTAAACTATTTACAGAATCTTCAAACAGGGAAAATCTAGTTAACCTTTGACCAAAAAACCCTCTTCACAATCCAGCAAAATGGTCTTTTAACACCTTTCAATTCAGCAATCTAAATTGAAAGTCTGCTTATAAAACAATTTTACCATTCAAAGTTTCCATTTTCACTTGAGATGAAAATTGAAAGAGCAGCTGGTGAAGGATCAACCTGAAATAATTATTATTATATAGTTTGCAGGGGACTGTGATGAAAACTGGATGTTTTATTGCACAAAGATGTCCTCCTGAAAACTTTTGAAGGTGCTTCTTTGAATAGCACTTGATGCTTCTGCCGATAAACCCTGCAGTATTCATTTCTGCTAATGCCGGGTGAAGAGCAAAAAACAAAAATTATATCACGAAATCTGTAATATTTGCCACTGACATGTCCTGAAACTGCTCAAAAGTCGAATGTTGGTGGGTTTTTTCTATCCTTTAAAAACTTTCAAGTCAAATTCCATAGCCTTCTTTTTATTTTCTGTTACAGCTTTTTCTTGTATTCATAAGATTTCTGATTCAGAAACACTGTTGCAATGAAACTTGAGCCAGCCATTCTGTTTTTTTGTTTTTGTTTGAATGGATTATTAACTCAATAGGATGTGAATAATAATTGTTTATTAGCCAGAGATAGTGAACCAATCAGATTGCTTGAAACATCAGATCTCTGAGTGTGTAGATACTAATTAAAATTAACCAAAATTTGGTCATTAAAATAATTAAACATGAATTCAATATAAGGAATATTTCTAAATCTTCTTAATAGGAAACTTCAGAGAAATCTGAAAATGTTGCATTTTACAGCTGCCTTCTGGCATCTGACACTAATGTCTAAAACTGTTTACAATAGTCCAGCCATTCAGATGACAGCAGTTGCATATTTACTGTGAAACTAAGAAAACTGTGAACACCAGACATTTTTATATTTTTGGAATCTTACTGTGTAGCAAGGGAAAAGCCAATAAGCCACTTCTAGTCGTGCACCGAGACTCATTTTAAAACAGAGGTGAAAGCAACCCGGAAATGGCCTTTGGGCGTGCGTAAACTAAATGAACAAATTCCCTTTGACTTATAGCTTTCAAAAGGGACGCAAAAGATGATTTGGATGCTTGAATTTAGAGGTCATAAATATTTGACAATTCATCTTACCGGTATTTCAAAAAGGTTGGTTTATTGTGATAGCCAGCTCTATAAGCTTTAGTTTGATATAGGGGTTTAGGTGTCTACAGTTTAAACGAGACGCGTTACATCGCTTGGAGGCAAGACACCTCTGAAGGTGCTCTAAAGGTGTACAGTAACCTTAAGAATGAAAACTTTGTGCACTTGTAGTTTCCATGGCAACCAATAACTAACATGAAACTACACAACTAGGTGCAGAGTATTATTCTGCATGTTATTTGTTCTTTGTTGCCAAATGCTAGTGCCTTATTTTATTATATGATGAGCACACATACAGGGTTCCCTGTAAGAACTGGTGACCTGCAAAAATCGCTGTTTAGAAGTCCTTAGTGTGATGGCTTTCTAGAAACTAAATGTACATAAGAAACAATCTTAAAGTGTTATTGCTTTTTTGAGGGAATTTTTAAGGGAATTTTATTGATGTACAGCATGGAAATGATGGACAGCACTTTTAAATTAGTTCGGAATTAGTGTGAACGCTGTGTGTTTGAAACATGCTAGGGGTACTGCCGTGAGCATAAGTTATGCTTGGACAAATTTGTGATGTCAAATTGAAAAAGTCTGGCAGACTTATTCCAGTTCTGTTGTCAGTTGTGTTTAATAACATTACTAAAATTTAATCATAACTTGCTCTTCAACAAATCTCCTGTTTAATATCTTTATCTTGGTGTTCCAGGAACATATTGTGTGGGAGCAAAAGTGCTCGATCATAATTTAGGCTGTCTTTAACCAAAGATTACCTCACAAATTAATAAATGCCATGGTAGTGTACCCTTGAGTATTTATTTGTTATTTTAAAAACTCGAAACTAGAGTATAACTCTTGAATTTTGTATCCCAAGACTTTTGTTTGTGGAGTAATTTTACTTATTTATTACCTTTTTAAGTTAAACATTACAAAGAATTTATACTTTTATGTGAAGCAAATATTCAAGATGCTTCCCTCTGCATTTAGAGCTGTGCTTGAACGTTTTATAGACTTGCAAAATATTGTCGGACTTGTAAAAATAAATCTGCACGTATTGGATATAAAATTGTTGATAAGAACGTGTAAATACTGTACATTGTGCATGTATACATTGTAGGGGGATACTCAATAGATAATCTATGTGGATTGGATTTACATAAGTCATAGTATTCTCCCATTTTGATTGGTTCTTAAGATCTATTGGAGGACAGATGTGTTGTGACATTGTGAACACTTTTGCTTTAAACAAATAGATTCCATCTGTTCAGTGGCAGATCAGAGACATCAGATTGTGGTAAGAACATCAGTGAATGACTTGGCTATCACCTTGTGTGCCACTTTTTTGTTGTTACTGTATTTTGACAACATCTGTGATGTGGAAACATGGAATCATTTTAAATGTTTTGTCAAGCTGAGTTTTCAAGCAGTCTAGTCTGGGATAATGTTCATTTATAAATCGTTTTTTGGTCTACAATAAGGTATTGCCATTTGCACTAAGAATTAATTGACTCTTGGAGTTCACTAAACCTTACAGAAATGGAAATACAAACAAGTAGAGCGACTGACTGCAATACTGATAGTTAAAGTGATATTTGGTACTGTTCCAGGACAAGGTTGCAAATGCAGCTGAACATTGTTTGCTATGGGTTTTACAAGAGCATTCAGAGTTCCATCAGCACACACACCTGACCCTCCAAAATAACAGAGTATCCCCCAGGTATACATGTCTGGATTTATGAAAACAGTGCTAAAGAAAGTCTCACCTGAGTGTAGACAAGATAAAAATTCATGGAAATGTCAGTCTCTTTTCCCCCCATTCTCTTACATTTGGGTACTCTTCTACTTTATTTTCATCAATAAATTATTAGAGTTATTTTCAGGCCTCTAGGAGTCATAATCAAAGTGTTATCACTCCCCTTGGTGCAAAGTAACACACTTTTCATTGATCCAGTCATGTATATTAGTAAGCCAATGTTACTGTGTAAATTTTTGACTTATATGTAACATGTAAGTTGTAACACACAGTACAATAAAGTTGTTGACAGTGTGAGTGGTTTTTGCCTTTTTTGATGGATTGTAGTTTCACGATGAAAATGGGAGCCCTTAAAAGTTCTTCTAGGAAGTTGTTGAACTTCCATCTGATGCCTGTGTTACCATGTTTGGTGGTCTTTCTCATAACCCAGTCCACAACAAGCAGGAAAAGAAACCCAGACATACAACAACCCTGTTTAACACCGGTTTTGATCTCGAACCAATCGTGCACACCTGACTCATCAATTACAGCGCATTCACTCTGACTGTACATCACTTTCACCATCGCCACAATCTTCTCAGGAATGCTGTAGTTCCTCATAATCCTCCATAGTACAGAACGATCTACAGAATCAAATGCTTTCTCAAAGTCGACAAAGCAGACCTAAAGGTTAGCGTTCCATTCAATACAGTGTTCAATGATATTGTGCAGTATAAATATTTGTTCCGTTGTACCGCGGCCCTTCCTGAAACCTGCCTGTTCTTGGCACAATTTATTATCAGTTCCATCCCGTATTCGTGTAATTATGATTCTGCCTAGAACTTTTGCTGCAACCACCATAAGCGTTATGCCTCTCCAATTGTTGCATTCGGTGAGATCGCCTTTCTTTGGTAGTTTCACTATCAATCCCCGTTGTCAGTCCTCCGGTATTTGTTCTTGCTNCGTATTCGTGTAATTATGATTCTGCCTAGAACTTTTGCTGCAACCACCATAAGCGTTATGCCTCTCCAATTGTTGCATTCGGTGAGATTGCCTTTCTTTGGTAGTTTCACTATCAATCCCTGTTGTCAGTCCTCCGGTATGTGTTCTTGCTCCCACACCTTATGCAAGAAGTAGTGTAAGACATCCACAGATGTTTCCAAATCTGCCTTTAGAATCTCAACGGTCAAACTATCAACTCCCGCAGCGGTTAAAATTTCTCTGAACTTTGAAATTTATTTTTACCCGAGCTTCCATGGTGTTATTTCAGGTAACAATTTATATCGTTAGCTTTTAGAAAATGTAAAAGGACTGTAATATACTTAAAGTTATTCTGGTACAAGGTTTTTGTCCGTTGTAAACTGAAATTGCTCGATTTCCTATCGGACTTTGTCTTAATATCTCAATACCCGTTTGTCCAAAGACGCACTGTGAGAGTAATGTGCCCTGCACAGAACGCAACCACCAATGTCAAGTTGTCATATTTCCATTTATACCATGCCACAGAAAATTCAGCCAACCAGAATACAGGAAAGCCGTTGTATATTCGACGGCTTATTCGACGGTATTACATACACCCTTCCCATCATGTGCCGGGCGTTTGTCGCATTGACTGTGTTACAGTCACTATATGTTGTAAAACGTGGTATAAGATAGTTATACAACTCTCTCTCGTGGTATACCATAGAATAGCCAACTTGTCAATTGTATTTTCTTGGCATACGAACTCATCTTAAGGTTTGTTTGTGCAAGAAAATGCAAATGACTCGTGGGATATTCCACGTCAGTATAAATTTACTAGCGTTGTCTCAGAATGCTGTTCTCTGATTGGCTACACTACTCACTATCTATTCTGTGATAGTGAATAACGTAGCATTGTGCGCCAGTTAACAAAATGACGGCCACTTCTTTCCGTTTTCGAGGTGTCTGTGAAGATTGTTTAGGTAAAGTTTTGAACGACTAGTAAATTTAAACTAAAACAATTAGATTTCGCTCTCGATTTCTATACGTGATAGATGACTTGGGCTGCGCCCTCGTCAACTATCGCGTGATAGAAATCGAAAGCGAATAATCTAATTGCTTAGTAAACCACGAGAGAGCGTTGCAAACTAGTATATACGGTTTTTAGGAATACAAGGCTGAGCTGGTAATAAAGGAAAGCTGGAAAGATCCAAGACTTGTATATGGCAACGAGTCATGGTTTGTCAAACTTAAGAATGACATGCTAAAGAAACTTTGGTATCCTGATACCATGATTGAAAACTCAAGAAAACACAATATAGATGAGGAATCAAAGACAGCTTATATTTTCGGGGACGGAACAATTTTCTTCTCAGAGTGGTTTGTATGAATCATTCCTTCACGTATAAAATATCATTGTCTTGCGTTTCTGACACTTTGTAAGTACATGTATGTATCATGAAGCCCCTAAATCTGTTACCTAGGATTCCAGTAATTTAAATATGTCAATAAGCTGATATTCTCAGCTATTGTCTCCATACATTTCTTTTGGTACTGGTGAGGATAATTTGTTGCACATCAATTTTGTCTTGGTGATCATTTTCTAAATTTAAAAGGAGAAGTTTCATGTTGAGAATACCGGAGCGTAGAGGTTGATTAATTAAAAACAGGTCTGTCTCCTTTCCTTGAAGGATTAAAGCGACCCTCACAAGCCATATGGACTTTTCAAAATATCCAATGGATGCGCAGACCTTGCGACTTCAAATAGCTGCTTGTAAGTTAAGATTTTCAGTGTCATTTAGTATGAATTTGTAGGTTTATGTTAGCTATTATAAGACAACTGAAGGAGCTCAGTCATGGTATTTTCAGTTATTTTGGCCGCGTACAAAATCACGGCTTTCTAAACCTGAATATAATATGTTTTCTAAAATAGAAAAACACAAGAGATAATAGTAAACCATAAAGGAACAAGGATCGTTAGGGATGGAGAAGATTAACACGGATTACAAACGGAGAACCCGTCAAATGTAGGCTAAACTTTTTAAGATACAGAAACTGTGACGTAGCTCGTTTAAGAGTGCTTCTTATCACTGTGTAAACTGACTAGTTTTGAACTATTTTGGGTAACCCGCAAATATCAGGTCAATTGGCTGGTGTATTGGACTAATCATCAAGCATTCAGGGTTCATCGGGGTCATAGTTTCTGGATTGGATTAAGTGTGTTATCGTCAGTACCTTTCTCCACCTAGAGACAGAAATGCTTTCTGGCAAATTTACAAGGCAACTCGAAAATAATTTGACACGGGGCGTTGTGGCTTCCCGAAATGAGTTGGCATTCCAATCACCAATCAGTGTTAAGTGCCGGCTTGATAATCCATCCTGGGTACGTTCTTAGCATGCGTTTTAAAGCTTCCCGCCTTCTTACAAAGAGGGGTTTTGCATATTCGTACCCTATGGTTAAATAGTCATTTGTTTTACACATTATATAAGACAGGACGCGGCAAACACTCTTTGAGTTCGTTACGAAATCTTTCTTTCGCCACGCGCCCGTGGCGAGCCAAACAGGTGTCTCTGTAGGAGGTTACTGTTTACTGGGTTCTGAATAACATTTTTATTCTTCTACTTTCCTTCAGATAGTTATGATGACCGCCAAGTCCAGTATCAGTGGACAAAAGCTCATCTAAGGGAACATGATATGACGGAGTTTTACGTAGAAAACCAAACCCTTAGATTGGAATCTACATCTTTCATCACAGGTACCTCAGGTATCGGTGTCCAGTCATGTTATGCAATGAATTAATGAAGTTAGCGCTAATCTGTTTGTGCGCATCCTTACTGCGCACGCAGCTGCGCTTCCATCACGCCATGCATCCGCCGATCTCGCCAACCTCGTTCCCAGAGACCTGGGAGCGAGGCTACGAGCTCGCACGCTCTTATTTCTCGTTTGATAGATCACTTACATGTAATATCGTTAACAGATCTCTTGTGGGAACGAAATTATAGATCACTTTCTCTCCCTCTAAAACGTCGTATTAATATAGTTTAACAAAAAAAATGACCAGATAGTCCGCCCCCTTTGAATCACCTTCAGTACTTTTAACTAATATGTAACCTTTGGAGACCATGCTGGGGCTCTTGCACTACAGTCTCAAAATCTCACACTTAGGATCTCTAAAACGAAGTCGGTAACTCTCATTTTCTTCTGATTTCTGACACAAGTTGCTCATTTTTGGACCACATCATCTGTCCTCATTGCGCCATGGGACGCATAAGGCCTTATTTTCTGACCACATTGAACGTTTAAAGAAATCTACGTATTAAAAATTTCCGCGCCAACTTTCTTAAAATTGATTGTAGGGGAATCGCTCTCCAAACGACACTGTCTTGTGGCTATTTAATTGTTGCTATCGCCGAGATTGCGTTAATGTTTTTTGTGTCCTCTTAACTTTGGTGTTATCCATATTCTAAGTTGATGTTGCAGATCCCTAGCTTCTCAGCATTACTGGGAAGCCGTTTTAGTTTTCCTTGCGCTTTCAAAATCGGTTTCCTTTCTTAAGCAAAGTGTACTCCAGTTTATTTACCTGTAGTAGATTTTCCACAAAACAATCTACTAAAATGCGTGTCGTTTTTCATCTGAACGTCTTGAGAAAAACTTTTCTACTGTTTTGCCTTGCGCCGAACACAGAATTTTATTAACGGACAGATATATCCTTCCTTTAAATTTCTAGGAACGCACACGGCAGCAGTAGCCGAGTTCCAAATAAGGCGTCGCCTAACACATTACGCCATGGGGTTTTACCTACCTTGCATTGCATGCACCACTGCTTCTTGGCTCCAGTTCTGGATGGACCAAGCGGCCGTCGGTGACCGAGCATGCTTAGGTATAACAACAGTACTGACAGAGATCTTTCTGCTGGAGTTCAGCAATCAAGGCATGCCAAAGGTCAGTTATATGAAAGCTGCCGAGCTGTTCCTCATCGTGTCGTTTGGTTTTATCTTCTTGGCTCTGGTAGAGTCAGCCATTGTGTACAAGACTACCCTCTGGTCAGTACTGAAAGAGAAGAAAAATAAACGTGTAAAAAAGTTGAAAGAACATGGCGAGACGCACGAGGTAATATATACCATTTAAGGAGTGGGCTTATATATAGAGAGAAGCATAGAATATAATAAATGCTAGCTTTCTAGGTTGAAAGCCAAATCATTCGAACTCCAAAACAAACTTTGACCCACAATCTTGGGAATCTAAGAGAGCTACAAGACTGAGGAAGTCAAATTCTAGACGCTGGCCAAAAAGGAAGCTTTGGGTAATGTAAATAATAAAGCTTTAACCCAATCAGCCAAAAAATTCCATTTTTAGCGGACGTACGTTAGTCACTGTCTTTAAGGAAGGCAAAGAGGTTATACCTATAACTTGCAGTCACTGATTGCTTTCTATTCATGCATTCAACACCCTGGCCTCGTAAACGTGTTGTGACAAAGTAATACGTTTGAAAACCCCTTTTACGAGCTTCAGTCTGAGGATGAAAAGGTTTCATAAGCCTTGGCTAGACCAAACGAAATTACCTGTTGGCGGTGGTACAGAAAATATGAAATTACGTTGAATAGCCTGAACTGGAATCAAYGGTYCGTTCTCRTCTTCGACAGATCGCATTCGGCTAACTTGGCTCGGTTATCAAGTTCTRTAGCCTYCATCTTATTAGGAAACCTCTTTATACGACTTTTGGCAGAAAAAAAAAWTCGATGTTTTCAGTCGGATTAGACGCGCGCACGCTGCGATAKTAAATTGTGACAAGTYAATGRAAATTTYCGGCTATTTGAGTGACAACTTGATCGCAAGTAATTTCAAAYAGAYCGCAAMTTATTTAAAAGTGCACGTCATCGCCAATGACGTCGCATTTCGACGTCACAGTAGTAAACTTCCATGTAATGCGGCTTTGTTTAGCGCTTATTTCCATGGTCTTTTTCAGAACCACTCACCTCAAACAATATGTGATGGTCACAGCCCTGTAACATCTCCTACAAGACCAGGAATTCCAGAACACGATGCTTCCAGCTACGAACAAACAGTAAACAAGTCAACGGAGTACATCTTCCAAGAAGTGGAGGGATCCAAAGGCACTGGCCCCCCTGTAAATCTGTCAACATCAACTGTTCGCTCTATCGCGGGTAAATGGGGCCTCATGATAGACCGGGGGGCACGTCTGCTATTTCCACTCGCCTACGGCGCCTTCATTGTTACATATTTCAGTTTCTTCCATTTTTAAAGGGGCACTGTCAGGACAATTGTGCTGCATTTTTTGTTCAATTTGAGAATCGGTACTTTCGAAATGCAGCTGGAACGTCAATATGAAGATATTAGAGTGCGACTTCTTCGGCAAGGCCACCCAAACAATTTTTTTTTTTTTTTTTGCATTATCACCAACAGCGTTTGCGTGTTAAAACAAATGAATTGTAGCTGTTGTTTGCCAACCAACTAGCTCAGATCGATAATTTTAGGTCTTTTGCGAACATCCAAGGTTTTCTTCAATCAATCAATC